CTTGAGCTCCTTGTTAACCATTTTAGGAGGTAGCATAAGATCAAGAACCAATAGTGTTGAAAGAAGAAGTCCAAGATTCACTGAAGGCATTGGTGAAAAACAAGCCTTCAGGAACTGATGAAATACCAATTGAGATGTTTCAACAAGGAGATGCAATGCTAGAAGCACTTGTCTATGCCAAGAGATTTGGAAGATAGCTACCTGCCCATTCCAAAGAAAAATGATCCAACAGAATGTGGAAATTACTATTTATTTTTTGTAAGTAAAATTTTGCTGAAGATAATTTCAAAAAACGGTTGTAGCAGAAGAGATTATAGAAGAACAGATATCATTGGTGATGTCAGATGGATCTTGGCTGAAAGTAGAAAATATCAGAAAGACCTGTGTTTTATCAACCATGCAAGGGCATTCAACTATGTGGATCATAACAAATTATGGATAAAATTGTGAAGAATAGGAATTCCAGAACACTTAATTATTCTCATGAGTAACTTACATAGACCAGGAAGCTGTTATTCAAATAGAACAAGGGGATACTGTATGGTTAAAAATCAGAAGAGTGTGTGTTAAGGTTGTATCCTTTCACCATACTTATTCAATCTGTATGCTCAGCAATAACTTGAGAAACTGGACTATATAGAGAAGAACACGGCACCAGGTTTGAAGGAAGACTCGTTAATAACCTGCAATATGCAGACAACATAACGTTGCTTGCTGAAAGTGAAGAGGACTTGAAGCACTTACTGATGAAGATCAAAGACTACAGTCTTCAGTGTGGATTACACCTCAACATAAAGAAAACTAAAATCCTCACAATTGAACCAATAAGCAGCAATATGATAAATGAAGAAAAGATTGAAGATGTTAAGGATTTCATTTTACTTGAATCCACAATCAATGCCTGAGGAAGCAACAGTCAAGAAATCAGATGACATGTTGCACTGGGCAAAAAATCTTCTGCAAAAGACCTCTTTAAATGATTAAATAAATAAATAAAGATGTCTCTTTTAGGACTAAGGTACAGCTAACCAAGTCATGGTGTTTTCAATGGCCTCGTATACATGTGAGAGCTGGACAATGAAGGGAAAAAAAGAAGAAGAAGTGATGCCTTTGAATTGCAGTGTTGTCAAAGAATATTAAATATCCCATAGACTGCCAGAAGAACGAACAAATCTGCCTTGGGAGAATGTATGCTTCTTAGATGTTGAGACTTTGCCTTCTGTACTTGGGACATGTTATCAGGAGGGGCCAGTCCCTGAGCAAGGACATCATGCTTGGTAATGTAGAGAGCAAAAAAGAGGAAGGCCCTCAGTGAGATGGACTGACACAGGGTCTGCAGCAGTGGGCTCAGATGTTGTCAGGATCTCACAGGGCCTCGCAGTGTTTCGTTCTGTGTATATGGGGTTGCTATGAGTTGGAACTGACTCAATGGCACCTAACAAGAAGAAATGTTACCGGAGCCGCCAAGGGAAACACTAACACCAAGCAGGATGGTGAAAAAGGAAGGACCTTTATTCATGTTGACATGTGGCTCAGTGGATTCACATCCAGAGACTGAGCCCTGAACAAAGGTCACACAGGGCTTTGGTATGTTTCTGGAGTACACAGGGTATATGGTGGTTGGTTTCTTTTCTGAAAAACACAAGCAGGGTAGTTTTACAGAAGTGGGAAGTGCAGCGAGAGGGAGGAAGTGTCTGTTGGGGGCTTTCCATTCTCTATGTTTTGTTTTCTCAAAGCTGAGTGTGTCCTGCCTCAGAACAAGTAAAGGTAATGACATAGATAAATACAGAAGACATTGTGTATGTTTTCTGTTTGTTTGTATCTCTTTTTCCTTCTATCTGATTTAAAAGACAACTGCATAAAGCAATGATTACATCTGTGTTATGGGCACACAATATATAAAGCTGTGCTTTGTATGACATTAACCCCACAAAGGAGTGGGGAGGGAATGACCTATATAGGACTGAGGTTTGTAGAGTATTGAAATTAAGTTGGTATTCATCCTAACTATGTTGTTATAAATTAAGGCATTAGTTGTAACCCACAAGGCAATGACTAGGAAATAACTCCAAAAATACAGTAACGCGAATATAGCAAAGAAACAACCAGGGAATTAAAACGGCACACTAGAAAATACTCATCTACATGAAAGAGGACGGTAACAGAAGACTGGAGGGATGGAGGAGGGCCCGGGACACCCAGAAGACTGGAAGGACAAAGGAAGGCCCATGACACCCAGAAGACGAAGGAGACACCCAGAACGCAAGTAGCTCACGCAGAGAAGAGGCGGAGCAGCAGCAGCTTTGATGGTGGGCGCCAGGCTGCTGTGGCCGGCGGGCCTTGCTCCAGGGCAGATGGAGGGCAATAGTCTGCGTGCCCCTTGTGCTGCAGGAGGAGGACCCTGCTCCCTGCCCCTGGGAACAGACAGCACTGGAGTTGGCTACGCTTAGCTACGCAGCTCCTGGAGATGTTGACATTGGCTCAGGGCAAGTGGGGAGGGACTGCTGATGCCTACCAGCTGCTATGGGATGTGCCCCCCAAAAGGGAGTCAACCCACATCCATCCCGTAAAGGATGCCAAGCCAGCACATCTGGTCCTGAGCACAAAGGAGGTTCACTGCCGTCGTAGGGAAGAGCAGGAGGCTGTGCTCCTGCTGCCCCTCCCAGGGGCTGCTTTTCCAGCCACTCCAGCTCAGAGCCAGATTCTCTCAGCCAAGTTCAGCGCTGCCCTGAATTCTGTGTGACTGGGGCCACCTTTGGGGTGAAGCAGTGAGACAAAAAATTACAGAAATTCTTTCTGCAGTTTTCAGACAACAGGGTCCCCTTTCTAGATCCTCTGTCCAGATTGCCAGGGTCTACATCACTGCCCCTGTGGCCATGCTGCCTGGTGGCTGGGGCTGGCCTTGTTCCGTGGCTGGGGCCGGCTTTGCTCTGTGGCTGGGGCTGGCTTCTCTCCATGGCTGGGGCTGGCCTCACTCCATGGCTGGGGCTGGCCTCTGTGGCTGGGGCTGGCTTTGCTCTGTGGCTGGGGTTGGTCTTGCTCCGTGGCTGGGGTTGGCCTTGGTCCGTGGCGTGGGCCAGCTTTGCTCCATGGCTGGGGCTGGCCTTGCTCCGTGGCTGGGGCTGGCCTTGTTCTGTGGCGTGGGCCGGCTTTGCTCCGTGGCTGGGGCTGGCCTTGCTCCGTGGCTGGGGTTGGCCTTGTTCCGTGGTGTGCTGGCTTTGCTCTGTGGCTGGGGCTGGCCTCAGGGCAGGGCTGGGACAGAAGGTTCTGCCAGAGGTGCTGCTGCCTACATTGCTGAGCTGTTCCACAACTGGGCCCAAGGGGCACCCATAACTGTGGTCATTGTTGGGGTTCCCGCTGCAGCCCTGGTTTGCCTGCTGTGGCAGCTTTGCTGAGCCCTCCCAGTGTCACTGTGTTCTTCCCGGGGTTTCTAGTTGTCATCAGTGGAGAGTCCGTAGCAGACTTACTCAGTCCCGGCCTTCTGCTGTTTGGCTTTAAGCAGTCAACTTACAGGAATAAGAAAAATAAGAGAATGCAGAGGTTTGGGGTTACTTTTCAGTCTCCTCTCTTCTTTGTGGGTGCTGAGTGCTGGCAGCTGCCTCCTCTGCTCTGGGGGCCGCCCCTTCTCAGTGACCGCGGCTGTGCGTGTGGCTGTGCATGTGGCTGTGCGCGCGGGACACCTGCATCTCCTCTTTTACCTTCTGGACGTCACTCGGCATCAGCACCAAACAGCTCAGTGGGGGGGGTGGGGGGCAGCCCTTCCTCGGGCCACGTCCCCACCCTCCTCAGACACACGGCGGGATCGTGGCTGTTTATCAGGAAGCCAGGGCAGCGTCCGATGGTCTGCGTTTCCAGTCAGCAGAAATGTCTGCTTCCGTGGAACAGTCTTTAAAAGCCTGAGCCATTTCGTGTCGTTCTGTTGGGAGCTGTTTTGCTGTAATTTCTAGCTGGTGCACTCTATTTTAAATATAATTGTTTGGAATAAATAAGGCATTCTACAAGGTTCAAAAATGGAAAATACATACATATATATAAAAGCGGTCCCTCAGGCCCCTCACACCCCCAGCTGTCTGCTATCATGAGATTTGGGAGCACCCTTGAGTTTCTGTATGTGAATAAGAACAAATGCATAAGGTACTGTCTTCTACTCATTATCAGTAATCTCATTTTCAAAAATTGGCAATTTTTTTTGTTCCTGTTCTGCTGAGACAGTGTACTTTTCTCTCCTTTTTGGACAAAAGGCAGTGTGTTCTACATCGTGATCTGCACCCTGCTTTTTCTCACCTGATCTGTCTTTCCCGGGGCTCCCCCAAAACAGCATGAGCCAAGGACTCGCGTGTGGGCATCTTGGTAGGGAGGGCCCCATGAACAGGAATGAGCGGCAGGAAGGATGGGATGCGGGGCCACCAAAGCCTGGCTGTATCACACCTTTCATTGCTGCTTTGGGTGCCCTTAGGAGCTCTGGTAGCACAGTGCCTAAGGTATCTGACTGCTAACGAGAAGGTTGGTGGTTCAAACCCACCAGCCACTCTGCAGAAGAAAGACTGGGCGATCTGCTTCCATAACGGTTTACCACCTTGGAAACCCAATGAGGGTCGCTGTGAGTTGGAATCGACTTGATGGCAGCAGGTTTTGTGGTTTGGGTTGGGTGCCCTTGTGTTGACACTGAACAGGACAGTGGTTGTGGTGCCATCAGAGATGTGATTCCATGTGGACTTTTCCTTTGCAGTGGCTTCCTGTGCCTGCAGCCTTGGCCTGAGCACAGCTCCAAGGAGAGTTAGCTGTGCGGGAAATCCCAGGCACCAGTGCACAGCACTGTGGGCTGCAAGGCTTCACAGGACCGTGGAGGCAGCTGTGGCCCAATGTACGAGGCTGTTGGTGTACTACCCATCAGGAAATGCACCAGCCAGAAGCAGGGGTGTCCCGTCCTCACATTAAGAACCTCGGCTCCTCATGCACATCCACATGATCTGACTCCTCCCTCTCTGGCTTTCCCCCAGGTCACCTACGGCTCCTTTGACTACACCTCCCTGCTATACCTGTCCAACTACCTGGAGGACTTTGGCGGAGGACGGTTTGTGTTCATGGAGGAGGGAGCCAACAAGACAGTGGAGCCGAGAGCTGGTAGGACCTGGGCAGGCACTGGGCATCCTGGTGGTGGGTGCCGGGGGCCGTCTGGCTCTGAGTCCATGAGTGCCGGTGGTGAGCCCGACTCTTGAGTCCATGAGTGCCCATGGTGGGTGCCGGGGGCCGTTTGGCTCTGAGTCCATGAGTGCCGGTGGTGGGCTCTACTCTGAGTCCATGAGTGCCAGTAGTGGGCCCGGCTCTGAGTCCATGAGTGCCGGTGCTGGGTGCTGGGGGCCATCTGGCTCTGAGTCCGTGAGTGCCGGTGGTGGGCCCGGCTGTGAGTCCGTGAGTGCCGGTGGTGGGCGCCGGGGGCCGTCTGGCTCTGAGTCCGTGAGTGCCGGTGGTGGGCCCGGCTCTGAGTCCGTGAGTGCCGGTGGTGGGCACCGGGGGCCGTCTGGCTCTGAGTCCGTGAGTGCCGGTGGTGGGCCCGGCTCTGAGTCCGTGAGTGCCCGTGGTGGGCGCCGGGGGCCGTCTGGCTCTGAGTCCGTGAGTGCCGGTGGTGGGCCCGGCTCTGAGTCTGTGAGTGTTGGTGGTGGGCGCCAGGGGCCGTCTGGCTCTGAGTCCATGAGTGCCGGTGCTGGGCACCTTGTTTGGAGGTAGGGCCATTGCTGATGTGACTGTTAACATGCGGTCATACCGGAGTAGTTGTTCTTGTCGTTAGGGGCCATCGAGTCGGCTCGGACGCACAGTGGCCCGGGGACACCAGGACCAGACACCGCCCGGTCCGGCACCAGCCTCACAGTGTTTCCTGGCCTTGAGCCCATGTTGCAGCCACTGTGTCAGTCCATCTCGTTGAGGGTCTTCCCCTTTTTGGCTGACCCTCCACGTTACCCAGCATGATATCCTTCCCTAGGGACTAGGTCCTTATGACAACATGACCAAATTATGCGTGACCAAGACTGGCCTTCTCACTTCTAAGGAGCACTCTGGTTGTGTTCCTTCCAAGACAGATTTGTTCGTTCTTCTGGCAGCCCGCAGTACTTTCAGCATTCTTCACCAACACCACTGTGAAGGCATCAACTCTTCTGTCTTCCTTATTCATTGTCCAGTTTTCACATGCACATGAAGTGATTGAAAATACCATGGCTTGGATCAGGTGCTTGTTAGTCTTCAAAGTGACGTCTTTGCTCTTGAATACTCTAAAGAGGTCTTTTGCAGCAGATTTGCCCTTTGCAATACAACATCTGATTTCTTGACTGCTGCTTCCACAGGTGTTAATTGTGGATCCAGGTAAAACGAAATCTTTTTGCCATTTTTCATGATGTTGCTTATTAGTCCAGTTGCAAGGATTTTTGTTTTCTTTAATTGAGGTGTAATTCACACTGAAGGCTGTCGTCTTTGATCTTCATCAGGAAAAGCTTCAAGTCTTCTTCACTTTCAGCAAGTAAGGTTGTGTCTGCTTCTGTAGAGATTGACAGCCTTGGAAATGAGACAGTTCTCCTCTGTCCTAAAGGGTCACTCAATGGCAGTGAGTTTTTTTTGTTGTTGTTGTTTTAATCAATATGTGGGAGATGAAATACCCAGCCCCAGTTCCTTCTGCCCTTCCTGTCTCACCTAACAGGTGAGAAGCATTTGTGAAGGTCACAGCCCAGGGGCATGAGCTCAGTAAAAGACTCAGACCCAGTACAGGATCCTGGAACTCTTCCCTCCCCCATATCAGTTCTCTTAGCTATAATCCGTCTCTGTTGCTATAAACCTTCTCTACAATAATAGGATTACAGGCAGTCCCCGGGGTATGAACATCTGACTTATGTATGACCCATAGCTATGAACCAATGCTCATAAAGTCTGTTATATTAAAAATTTGAAATGCATTCAGTGGTTCATGATAGTAAATGGATGCTACTTTGCAACATATGATTATTATTGCTGAATTATTATATGAAAGATTATTTTAATGTGTCTGGAAGTACTTTTTTAAATTTTTTTATGCATAGAAAGGCACACTGTATACTAACTGACTCTGACTAACTCACGTTAGGTGGAACTATACCTAACTGTTCTTATACAAATTCAACTTAAAGCAGACCTAGGAATGGAACTCGTTTGTAATCCAGGGACTCCCTGTACAGATCCGAGAACAGCAAGCCTCGGACCTCTTTAAGAAGGAGTCTCTAGGGAAACTCAAAGACATCAAGGAGACAAAAACAGGGACAGCAGAGGGAATGCCATCCTGTGACGCTGAAGTGGCAGCAGGCAGTGGCACAGCCTAGCTCCCAGCAGATGAGCATAAACCACACACTGCCTGCCTTCCTCAGCATCTCCCACCCAGAACTTCGTGTCTGGTTTTCAACCACAAAAATTACGAGAGAACCAGATGGTGACTGGCTATCAAGGCCAGCCACCCGGAAAGGGATCAAAATTGGAGATTCTGGGTAGAGTGGGAGGGAAAATGTGGAACAAAATTCAAAAACACAAAAATGACCAGAATTACTGGTCAGATAGAGACTGGTGGAACCTCCGAGACTGTGGCTCTGGGCTGTGCTTCGGGTCTAGACATGGACTTGCTTCCATGGATTGGCTCTCAGCCCAACAGTAGAAAGGCCTTCACGCAGAACACCTACCCCAGGAAGATGCACCCCCTGCCCCACGGAGACACCTGCCTTCCTACAGCAGGATTCAAGTTAGCAACTAAGTGACCGGGAAATTAAATTATTTCCATTGCTAGAACCTGCGTTCTCTTGGCCACAAGGACCCCTGGGCCCCTCGCCGAGGTGTGACCTGTGCCAACACTCTGGCACCAAAGCTTCACTGGCTCTTGGTCCATTTCATTCTTTTTTTTTTTTTTTTTAATTGTGCTTTGGGTACAAATTTATAAGGCAGGTTTGTTCTACACTCAACACTGTGCACATTTGATCTCACAGTCGATTACAATCCCTGACCATAAAAGGCTTTCCTCCCCTCCCCCACCCGTGCCCACCCGCTCCCTGTGCCCGTCTTATCTCTGCATTCCCGTCCGTCCAGCTTTCCCTCTGTGGGAATGCTGCCCCTCTGATGTCTCATGGCTGATTGATCGAACGGGTGCATCTCCCTAGGGTGTGTGGGTGCATTTTCCTGGGGTAGGTGCCTGTCCTGACAGTGGGACAGGTCTCCCATCCAGCCTCAAGCACAGCAAGGTCCCTAGCACAGCACCGATGCTGCAGGGGTGCAGCCCTGCAGCCCCCGGCCCTGGGAAGTCAGTGCACAGGGCTCACCCACGAGCAAGGCAGGCGCTGTGGCTGCTGCCTAACTGGTCTGAGCTTGCCTCCAGGAGTCAGGCTATCTCTCGACGGTTGAAAGTGATGGACAGCCACTTTGCTGCGGGAAGAGAGGGTGGATGTCTGCCCTCTGTGAGCTCACGTTTGCTCTTTCCCTCCCCATCACCACCTGTGGCGTTTATTCACGAGGTTGGTGGTCTTGCTCTACAAGAACACAGTGTGGGAGAAGTTTTGACTCCCAGCTGCCTTGGTTCTGCCAGGATGTTCATCAGGCCTGGGCTCTGCCTCTCGGGCCCCTGTCTGTCGAAGAGACAAACAGGGCGGCAGGAACAGGACAGGGCATGCTCTTGTGGCTTCTTTTGCTCAGCACGGTGTTTCCCAGGCTCAGCCACGTTCCTGTGTGTATCTGTGGTTCGTTCCCTTTCCAGAGAGCGGCATCCCGCTTAAATGACTGTGCCAGGACTGTGTAGCCATGCACCTCTGCGGGTAGTTTTAGTTCAGCCTGCTGTGCACACAGCTGCCACAAACGCTGGCCGGGAGTCTGCATCTGGGTGTAAGTGCCCTTTCTCCTGAGCTGATACCTACGAGTGGGATTGCCCGGTCACGTGGTAACTGCGTGTCTGATGTCAGCGGGAGCTGCCAAGCCCCACACCTTCCTCAGACTGGTGCCATGTGCCTGTTAAACTTTTAGCCGTCTGGGTGGTACGTTAGTGACCGACCACGTAGCAAATGATCCCAGAACATAGCCAGCGCACTTGTTGCCTCCAGTTCTCGGGTCAGTGATGCAGCTGTCAGACGCCGTGCTGTCCCACAGTCCTGAGCTCTGGCCTTACCTCGTCAGCCCTGCTTTTCTGTGCTCTCTGTGCCTCAGTTCCCAAGACGTGCAGAAACACCAGTGGCCCCAGCACCCCACTCGGTGCTGACACTCACTGTGTCAGCCAGGGAGGTGCAGAGGGAGTGGGAAGAGGTGGATGCCGGTGGCTCCTATCGGGCAGACAGGCTTCCGGATTCAGTGTGTCGGGTTGGGTCGGAACTGGCCTTTATGAGTCTCAGACAATACAATGAGTCTGGATCACACTAGAGAAGGACCTGTCCTTTGTTCGTATCTGGAGACGGAGGCCAGGTTGTGTTGCAGGTGTCCCTGTGCTACGTTCAGCGGTGTCAGGCCCACAAGCCCTGTCTGCTGTTTACACCTGGACTGCACATCGGGGGACTTCAAAGATTTAGAGCCAGGTTACAAGTGTGAAGGGAGGAAGTCGAGTTTCTGCTGGCACACCGAGGGATGCTGACGGCACCAGCAATGTTAGGAGCCAGGCCCCATGGAAGGAGCAGTGTCCCCCGCTCCCGGAACTCCAGGCTGAGGTGTTACACCAGAGTAGGGGTCTGGCAGCAAACGCTTACCTAAAGGCAGCTGCAGTCATGAGTCAGTTTCTCCCTGGCAAAGAAGCTGTGGCACAGATCGCCGATCTGGAGGCTTCTATGGTCAGGGTGTTTGCAGCAAAGCTCCGAGGGCAGCAGGAACCCAGCGGTAGAACTGCGCCCCCGTGTGGAGACGCGGCTTCCGCCCATCACACCTCACGCGCAGCCATCCCCGCCTGTCTGTGGAGGCTCGCGTGTTGCTGTGGTGCCCATGGGTTCAGCAGGGCTTCCAGACCAGGACAGACCGGGAAGGAAGGCCTGGTGTGTGCGCAGAAGGAGAATAAACAGCAGTGGTGGACGCCGGACCAGTCAAATGTATCAAGCGTTCCCTTAGAACGCGGGAAGGCTCCTGGCGTCTTCGTGGAGGTTGTCGAGCTGGGTGTCTGCAAGTCGAATGTTTTCAAGTTCGACTTGTCTTTCCTGACTGTGTCAGACACCACTGTCACCTTGGAGGGCTGGCTTGCTTTCTAGACATGTTAGAAACGAGAACCCTAAAACGGGATCTGGGGGTCGGAGCGGGCTCAAGGGGCATCCGTTGGCCTGTGGGGTCGTCCTCACCTTCCTGTGACGGGGGCTCTGGAGGTGGGTGGGCTGTTGTGTGTGTGCCCATGAAGAGCGCCTGGCCCGCACACTCATTCCTCCCTCCCTCCCTCCCCCAGGCCGGGTCTCCTTCTTCACCTCAGGGTCCGAGAACCTGCACCGCGTGGAGAAGGTCCGCTGGGGCACACGTTACGCCATCACCATCGCCTTCACCTGCAACCCCGACCATGGCATCGCAGACCCCACCTTCACGTAGCTGGTGGGCCTGGGCCCCGCTGCAGGACGAGCCCACCGAGGGGGCAGCTGGACCTCCCATCTCAGCCCATCCCACTGCACGCAGTGCCTTATGGACCAGCTGGGGCCTGACTGGCCGATGGCTTCATGTCTGTCGGCTGTGAGTAAACCTGGGGGTGTATATCTCACCTCACAAGCATCTGCGTGTTTACTTTGGGGTGCTATTGACCTGGAGCCCCTGATGCACCCCTCCTTCCTCAGGAATTGGGGCAAATAGACAAACCCATCTGCTGGGCCATGTGTGGTTTAGATGCCTCCCTGACCTGAGGGCAGACCGAGTACCACAGACCTGTGTGTGGGCACTGGTGGGATGGCTATGGGTGGGGCCAGTCAGCAGTAACTTTTCAGAGAAGGTTCCAGAGAGCTCTAGGGGGAGGAGGGCTGACTCTGCTAGGTCCACGGTAGGAGTTGAGTGGGTGAGTCTGTGCCCCCACCACTGTGGCCTCAAGACCACCTGCTGAATTACAACGTGTGTGATCCTCACTGTTGGGATCGACTCATGTCTGCTTCCAGGCACAGAGGTGGCTGGCCTCCAGGCTCATGGCGAGACCCCGTGAAATCGAGGCCATGTGAGGTCACAGGATATCTCAGCTCCAGGGACATGACGGGCTTCTAGCTGACCTTGGTTACTTATGTCAGAGTACAGGATGTCACTTTTATTACCCTGAATGAGTCTCAAAACCAGGGCATCACAGGAGCAGGAGACACACAGGTGGCTGGGTGCTGTCATAGAGGCCTATAGAGGCCCAGGACAAGGGTGAAGGGAGGGAGGAAGAGGTGACCCCAAAAGGAGGCAACCCTGAGAAGAGGCAACCCTGGGAGGAGGCAACCCCAGGGAGGAGGAGACCCTGGGAGAAGCCAACCCCAGGAGGAGGCGACCCTGGTGAAAAGGTGACCCCGGGAGGAGGCAGCCTTGGGAGGAAGTGAACCCTGGAGGTAGCAACCCTGGGAAAAGGCGACCTGGGGAGGAGGTGACCCCAGAAGGAGGCGACCCTAGGAGGAGGGACCCCAGAGGAGGCGGCCCCTGGAATCGGCATATGGGCCTGCCTGCCCACCTCACTTCCTGTCCCACCAGTGCCACCTGGAATTCCAGATGGAGAACCTGCCCCTCACATGACCCAGTTTGGTGGTTTGTGGGTGGGAGGGGGTCCAGGCTGAAACCTGGTGCCCCTACCCCCTCATAGGGACGGGTCTCCCTCCTCCTCCACAGGCCCCCTCCCAGTGGTGGGGTATGAGGAGAGGGACCCTCAATGCTCTCCTGGTGCCAGGATCCTGCGGCCATGCCCCAGGTCGGCCCTCGGGTGGCCAGGTCAGCTGTGTCCGTTGCACAGATGGGCAGATTGAGGTTCAGCTTTAGGGCAGGTCTTTACTGTGCCAGGTCCCCTGGCCGGCTCACCCCTACCTCAGGGGGAGGGCTCCCTTTGCTGGGGATGTTCTCCAAAGCAGAGAGTGCCCAGACAGATGGTGTGTGCTGGCTGCAGGGGTGACGTAGCTCCCTGACGAGCACTTCTGGAGGACTGGAGACACTGTGCTTCTGGAATCTGTGTACCCCCTGAGGTGACCACAGCCTGCAGGGCCGGCCATACTCCTGGAGCCTGAGCCCGGGGACGTGGCTTCCACCCCAGCACTAGCGGCAGCCCTAGCCAAAAGGGATTGGCAGCCCTTCTTCAGCCAAGTCCCTGCCAGGCCTGGAGCAGGCCGCCAGCCAGGCAGGAATGTGGCTGCTGCTCTGTGACGGCCCATCCATCATCTCTTCAGCCTCGTCCAAGATGCTCCCACCCAGGAATGAGCGCAGCCTGGCTGTGAACTCTGTCTGGCTTCTGGCCACCTCCATCCCGTGCTGCCTTCTGGACTCCCGTCCCACTTCTGGGTCTAGGCCACTCCCCACAGTGGTCACAGCGTCGGGAGGCTCTCTGGCACCTGAGGGGAGGGCCGTTCCCAAGTCCTGCTTTCTCAGCTCTTCTGATCGGCGTCCCAATGATTTTTCTCAAAGGTTTCTCTCCAGCTTTTCTCTGCGTGGGTTTTGAGAAGCGTTGCGTTGGATCTAGGATCCAGTTCATCTTTCAACAATGAATCTTTCTTTTCTTTTTTAAATTTTACTGTGATTTGCATGAAAGTTTACAGAGCAAATTCACTTTCCATACAGTAGCTCACATACACTTTGTGTTGGGACGTTGACTGCAATTCCCCACGATGTAACAGCTCCCCTCCCACTTCCTCCCCATAGTTACCTCTTTCCTATGTCCTTCCCTCTGTGCATTCCTGCCCCCTGAGATGTCTCCCTGTGCATACACAGCCCTTCTATTCTCCCATGATTGATCTCTCTAAGGAGTGTATCTCCCTAGTATAAATGTTCAGCTCATATGCTTGCCTTTTGTTCGGCTGGAAGCCACAGGAGTGGCTGCAGTTCCAGACTTGAAGGGCAGCTAGGGGCCATAGTCTCACTGGTTTCATCAGGCTCTATCAGACCAGCAAACCCGGTCCCTTTTTTATTTTTATTTTTAGTGATTTTGAGTTTTGTTCCACATTGTTCTCCTTCTCTATCCAGGAACCCCTACCCAGATTCCCCTCCAAGTGGTTGTCAGTGGTAGCCGGGCACCATCTAGTTCTGGTCTCATAGCCATATAAGCTGAGGATTGCATGTTACACCAGTCGCATCTTTGGTTGTTTCATTCTTCTTTGCTCTGGATGAGGAGAGACCCATCATTGCATCTAGATGGCCGTTTGCAAGCTTTTAAGACCCTAGTCGCTACTCGACTGGCCAAATCAATAACGAGTCTTTCTTGGGACGTGAAGTTGTCTTTCTGTCTGAGCTCCGTTTGCATGTTGAGGAAGCGGCTGGCCGGCCGCCGCTGTGTTGTGTCTTGTGAGGAAGTGGCTCCGGTCTGAGGCCCCTGAGGGTCGTCGCCTCTCCCAGATGCCCCTGCCTCTGCCGAGTCACCGCCACTCTCCGTGCAGGGTCCGGCAGCAGCAGCTCTGAAGGCCTCAGTGCAGTGCGGTCCTGCTGCTTGGTGGCTGCTGTCTGGTCAGAGACCCTGGCTGTGGAGGTCCTGGTTTGGGGTTTGTATAGACGTCTCTGTGTTTAATATTCTATCAGAAATTGCTACCTGAATTTGAAAAATGTGCACTTCTCCTCTGGAGTGAGTTGAAGACAGTCCAAGCGAACAGCTGTAAGGTTACAGACTGCGGAGTCACACACGTGCATACATGCACATATGTGCACATGCATGCACACCTCCTTGCACCCTGTCTCAGCCAGGCCAGACCCTGGCGCCTGGTCCAAGCCCTCAATCTTGGGGACCCAGACTGGGATCTGGGGTTAGAGTGGGAGCTGGCAAACAGGTGACCCCCTGCAGGACCCAGCCTGGCCTCCAAGCAGGATAGAGATGCCTGTGGTTCAAGTTAGGAGATCTCTCCATGAATCACCGTCCTGGCTATGCCTGCTGCCCACTGCCTTCTGAGCTGGGCCCAGAGTGTCTGCTGGTGCAAGTGCCAGGAGCACAGGGCGGGGAGGGACAAGACATCCAGCCCCAGGGAGACCAGGGGAGCCGTGTGCAGTCTCCATGTGGCTGTTGAGTGTGTGTGGGCATGTGTGTGCATCGCAGGTGTGAGTGTATGCATGTGTGTGAGTGGAGGTGTGTCAGTATGTGTATACATGCAACTGTACATGTGAGTGTGTGAATGCACAGGTGTGACTATGTGTGTGTTTGTGATTGTGTGTATGTGTGTGTATGTGTGAGTACAGAGTGTGTATACATGTGACAGTACAAGTGAGTATGTGCATGCACAGGTGTGTGTACATGTGTGTATATGATTATGTGTACATGTGCATGTGTGCATATGTGTGAGTGGAGGGGGTGTGTGTGGATGTAGACACATGACTACAAGTTAGTGTGTGAATGTGCAGGTAGGAGTGTTTATGTGTGTGTGTGTGATTATGTGTACATGTGAGTGTGTGTATATGTGTGTGAGTAGAGGGTGTGTGTGAGTACATACATGTGACTGTACATCAGTGTATGAATGCACAAGTGTGAGTATGTACATATGTGTGTATATGTGATTATGTGTACATGTGAGTGTGTATGTGTGAGTGGATGGTGTGTGTGGGGTGTATACATGTGATTATACGTGTGAGTGTGTTAATGCACAGCTGTATGTACATGCGTGTATATGTGATTATGTGTACATATGGGTGTGTACGTCTGTGAGTGGAGAGTGTGTGTGTATACATGTGAGTGTGTGAATGCACAGGTGTGTATGTGATTGTGTGTACATGAGTGTGTACGTGTGTGAGTGGAGGGTGTGAGTGGGTGTATACATGTGACTGTACATGTGAGTGTGTGAATACACAGGTGTGGGGGGGTGAAGAAATATATGTGTACCTTTGTGTTTGTATGTAACTGGCCTTCAAGTTCCTGGAGGCCAGGACCTCTTCCCAGATGTGGGGTCAAAGGCTGGCCCTTCCAGGTCCCCTGCAGCATCCAGGGAAAGGTCCTTGTGCTCTGCAGTGATGCAGGACCCCAGGGGTGGCCAACATGGGCTCCCTGGTTGTATCTAGTGCTATAGTCCCTAACTCTGTCCTCAGGGAGGGTGGGGAGGGGAGAGGAGGGGAAGGCTGGGCCCCTCTGCCCAGAACCAGGAGCAAGTCTGCCCCCACACATGCCCTGTTTTGTGGGGTGGAGGAGTCACCCCATCTGATTGGTAGGTGGGGGCATGAGTGTGGGCACAGGTGGTTGTCTGCATTCATGGGCGGGCAGCCCTCCTGCTGATTTTAAGGGGGTCCCCATTTCCGAGTGTTGGCGCCTCCCCAGAGGCCCCTTGTGATGGTTAATGTCATGTGTCACCTTGGCTGGGCTGTGACTCTCAGACACCTGAGAGGTTGACCTTCCACAATGTGATACAATGTATCCGTCCATTCTGTGAGCTAATGTGAACAGCCAATCAGGTGAAAGCATCAGTTTCCTTGGGGGTGTGGCCTGCATCCACTAGATGTGGACCTTTGGGCAAAGCTCCATTTCCCTCCATCTTGCACCCAACTCGTCATCCTCTTACCTCCAGTTCTTGAGACGGGAGCCAGCAGCCTGGTGCCTGACCCATGGACCTAGGACCTAGCACCTGCCAGCCTCTGCAGCTTCATGAGCCAGTTCCTTGAAGTAAACCTATGTTTAGGCGCTCTGGTGGTGCAGTGATTAAAGCATTCAGCTGCTAACCAGAAAGTAGTTCAAACCCACCAGCCACTCTGTAGGAGAAAGATAAGGCAGTCTGCTTCCATAAACATGACAGCCTTGGAAACCTTATGGTTTGCTACTCTGTCCTATAGGGGCGCTGTGAGTCGGAATGGACTCCAGGCAGTGGGTGTGGTTTGGGCTTTGCTTCTGCGAAGATTGACAGCCTTGGAGACCCTGTGGGCAGTTCCACTCTGTCCTCTAGGGGCGCTGTGGGTCGGAATGGACTCCAGGCAGTGGGTGTGGTTTGGGCTTTGCCTCTGCGAAGATTGACAGCCTTGGAAACCCCATGGGGCAGTTCCACTCTGTCCTATAGGGGCGCTGTGAGTCGGAATGGACTCCAGGCAGTGGGTGTGGTTTGGGCTTTGCTTCTGCGAAGATTGACAGCCTTGGAGACCCTGTGGGCAGTTCCACTCTGTCCTCTGGGGGCGCTGTGGGTTGGAATGGACTCCAGGCAGTGGGTGTGGTTTGGGCTTTGCCTCTGCGAAGATTGACAGCCTTGGAAACCCCATGGGGCAGTTCCACTGTGTCCTCTAGGGGCGCTGTGAGTCAGAATCGACTCCACAGTGGTGGGTGGTGGGTGGTGGAATATATATTTGTATATATATACACGGGAGCTCTGGTAGCATAGTGGCTAAGACACTTGCCTGCTAACCAGACGGCTGGCGGTTCAAATCCACCAGCCACTCCTCGGAAGGAAGGTTGGGCAATCCTACTTCCGTAGTGATACTGCCTCGGAAACCCAAGGAGGGGTCGCTATGTGCTATGAGTCGGGGCCGACTCGACGGCACATAACAACAACACACGCTTCATTGGTTTTGCTCCCTAGAGAACCCAGCCTCAGACACCCCCAAAAGCCGGCCACTGGAGCCTTGCTGCCGGCCGGGTCCCAGGCTCTGCCGGCATCCCGAAGGCCCCCAGCTCTGTCCGGCCACGAGAGCTCAGCCTGCTGCCCCCCTGCTCTCTGCACCTCTGCTGGCTCTTCCGGCCCTCCAGCTCCAGGTCCTGGAGACTGTGGGCCCCACTGGTTGTTGCCCCCAGGGCTCCATGTACGAGCTGGCCTGACTTGGGAGGCAGCAGCCAAGGTGGTGGCGGGGGCACAGGCTGGAGACAGGTGGTAGGCATTGCTCACTCTCTGGCTGGAGGCCCTGTTCCAGAAAGCTCCTTGGTACAGAATGGAGCTCTGTCGACCACACGGCTGGGCCAGGCAGGAGCAGGGCCTCCAGGAGGCAGGGGGTGTCTCGAGAGGAAGGTCAGGTCCTCGAAGGGCCTCCCGGATGGGGGCCACTAGGAAGGGGGCCTCCAGGCAAGAGTGGAGACCGCTGTTCTCCCCCAGGCCCTGCCCACCCGTCATGTGTCCGCCCATCCCGCACAAAGCCCCTGTCCTCTCGGGGCAGCCTTTGCCCAGCAAGTGCCTCCGGTTCCTCCCAGGAGGGTCCCACCAACCTGGGGGTTATAGCCTTCCCTGTGGTGTGGGCAGGACCTGCCAACCTTGGCGGCCTCGGAAGCTCGGCTCAGACGCTGCGAGGCGGAGGCTGAAAGCACGCCCTGAACGGCAGCATCTGCCCAGCCCGCACCCCATTCTCATGTTCCGGAGGCCTCGGGGAGGGCCCCAGCAGAGCCTCAAATGGGAGAGTTCTAACTTCTGGGTTCAGAGTCACGCAGTTCCCCCAAGCTCCAGCCGTCGCCCTGGATGGCCACCAGTCACAGTCCCCAAGGCCAGACCCACAGCTTCTGTGCCGCAGGGGCGTCCTGGGGGCCCTGCCGGGCTGGACCCCTCCTCCCACTTCTTGGATATCCAGTTGTCTGATTGTTGAGGCCCCACATGGCTGCCAGGCTGACAGGTTTGTTTATTGTAGTAAGAGCTGAAGCCACAGGCAACAGCCCCACACAGAAGCTGGGAGGGATGGGAAGGGCCTGTTACCAGCGAGGGGGTTCCTGGGCGGGCAGGGGTGGCCTGACCTCGTCAGGGCATGAGCCACCGGGTTCTGGCGTCTGTTGCTGCCAATGGCGACCGTATAGAGACAGCTGAGCCCAAGCCTACCCCCACTCCACCTCAAGACCCTTGTGGGTGGGCAGGGGGCAGCCGTTCTGCTCATCATGGAAGGTGGCTAATGTGGCAGATACGAACAATGGGAGAAAGAAGGGAATTTTCTGGAAGATGACAGAGGACGAGGGGGGCCGGAGCAGGGAGCTCCCGGAAGTGGCCTGGACTCTGGGGTCCTCCCTGCCAGACCCCAGCCTCCCAGTGCTTGTGGGAAATGGGGCATGGGAGCATCAGGCGCAGGCCACCCCAGGGGCTGCCCGGGAGGACAGGATGATCTCAGTGGCCGGCTGGCTGCTGGTGGACAGCGAGTGGCCCACGTCGCGCTGGAAGCGGCAGAGTGGCCGCAGGAAACCGGCTGCCGGCCTGCTGCCGCCCGAGTGCTGGTGGGCGCGCACGTGCTCACGGTAGTTCTTGGTGAGCAGCGTGTAGAGGAAGGGGTTGAGGCAGCTGTTGGCGTAGGTGAGGCAGGTGGTCAGGTAGTTGATGAGGCGCGCGGTCCCGGGGGCGAGCGGCAGGCCGGGGCAGAACTGGCTGAGCAGCTGCCACAGCCAGAAGGGCAGAAAGCAGGCCCAGAAGAACAGCACGATGCTAAGGATGAGACAGAGCACGCGGGGGCTGCGCAGCCGCCGCGTCCGCCCAAAGGAGGCCCTCTGCGAGCGCCAGTAGGCGCGGCCCAGGCGGGCGTAGAGCAGCCCAATGACCACGCCCGGGCCCACGATGCTGGTGGCAAAGAGCAGCGTCAGGTAGGCGCGGTGGGCACGGGGCCCCCAGGTCGGCAGGCAGAGGCTCTTGGGGCCCCGGTGCACCAGCCGGACGGCCAGCATCATGGGCAGCGCCAGCGGCAGCGCCAGCAGCCAGGTGCCCAGCACCAGGACCTTGCGGTAGCCCTTGGAGCGCTGCACCGTGTCCAGAGGCCTCAGCACAGCCACATAGCGCTCGCTGCTCATGACGGTCAGCGTGAAGCTGCTGGCGTGCATGGTCAGCAAATCCAGGCTGAAGAGGACGCGGCAGCCCGCATCGCCGAAGTGCCAGTCCTTGGTGATGTAGGTGCCCACGATGAAGGGGATGCTGGCCAGGTAGAGTAGGTCGGCCAGCGCCAGGTTGACGACGTAGACGTACAGGGGGGCCGACGCACGCAGGTAACGGCACATGACCACCAGCGTGTACACGTTGCCTGCCACACCCACCACACCCATGGCCGAGAGCACCACCCCAAGGGTGCCCGTGGCCACCAGGTCCTCCAGGGAGCCGGGCTCCGTTGAGCTCACCCATGAGCTGTTGAGGGACATGTTGTGGCCGCTGGGCAGCCCGGGTGCAATGCTGCCTGTCGGAGCCAGTCTGGGGAACCTGCCAGCCGACTCCGGCCTCAGGGCCATCTTTCCCGCCTCACGCTCAGCTCCGGGCTGGGGCCCTGCAAAGGGGGAGTGGCGTCAGTGGGTGGCAAGCTGGTTCTCTGGGAGAAGATGCCCACTGAAGGGGTGGGCCAGTCACCCTCTTTCCACTCGCACACGGCCACCTCAGTGGCACAGTTCCCTTGGGTCACACGAGCCGGCAGAGCACAGAGGCTTGCCAGTGGCCTCCTCCCCTCGAGGACCCTCCACAAGTCACTGTTCTTGCTTGGTTTTCTCCAGCCACCCAAGAGGACCGGAGAGCCACCAGGACGGCTTCCCCTCAATGTGTGCGCCGGCAGGACCACCTGCTCCAGGCTCCACGAAAGTCCAAAGGCACAGAGCACAGCACGGCAGCCCCCATCACAGCTCCTCCAGGCCGGCCCCCAGGTGTGAGGTCAGCAGTGGGTGGAGCCAGAGTCAAGGCCAGCCCCTCCTGTTGGTAAAAGAGAAGGTGGGCAGAGTCCTGTCTCCCATCTTATTTCACACATACATTTCACACATACACGTGTGTGCATGTGTGTGTGATGGTAGCCGGGCACACCTGTTCTCTGGTCTCATGGCAGAGGGGCAGTTGTGTGTGTGCATGTGTGCATGCACATGTGTGTGTATGTGTGTGTGATGATAGCCAGGCACACCCATTCTCTGGTCTCATGGCAGAGGGGCAGTTGTGTGTGTGTGCATGTGTGCGTGCATGTGTGCATGTGTGTGTGATGGTAGCCGGGCACACCCATTCTCTGGTCTCATGGCAGAGGGGCTCTTGTATGTGTGTGTATATGTGATGGTAGCCGGGCACACCCGTTCTCTGGTCTCACGGCAGAGGGGCTGTTGTGTGTGTATGTGCGTGCGTGTGCATGCACATGTGTGTATGTGTGTGTGATGATAGCCGGGCACACCCATTCTCTGGTCTCATGGCAGAGGGGCTGTTGTGTGTGTGTGTACATGTGTGTATGTGTGTGTGATGATAGCCGGGCACACCCATTCTCTGGTCTCATGACAGAGGGGCTGTTGTGTGTGTGTGTGTGTGTGTGTGATGGGAGCCAGGCACACCCGTTCTCTGGTCTCATGGCAGAGGGGCTGTTGTGTGTGTGTGTGTGTGTGTGTGATGGGAGCCGGGCACACCCGTTCTCTGGTCTCATGGCAGAGGGGGCACTTGTTCACGGAGACCAGTAGCACACAGACCATTTCCTCCCCCATGCCCACCTCCTCTCTGTTCCACCAGGTGAGCACAACTCACTTGTCGTGCCTTGGACGGCCACTTGCAAGGTTTTCAGACACCAGACATGATGCAACGGGCTGGGAGGGAGACAGAAGCGACAATGGACTCAGTGCTGACTCACAGTGACCCCCACAGGGTTTCCAAGGCTGTACGTCCTTATGGAAGCAGATGGCCTCATCTTCCTCCTGCAGAGCGGCTGGTATATTCAAACCACCGATCTTCTGGTTAGCAGCCAAATGCCTTAAGCACAGCGCCACCAGAGCTCCTACATTAATATATGAGTGGCTAAGACACTTGCCTGCTAACCAGACGGCTGGCGGTTCAAACCCACCAGCCACTCCTCGGAAGGAAGGTTGGGCAATCCTACTTCCGTAGTGATAACTGCCTTGGAAACCCAAGGAGGGGTCGCTATGAGTCGGGGCCGACTCGACGGCACATAACAACAACAACAACAGAGTATATGAAAGACTGTACATCAGTAAAGACTGGCAATTTAAAAAAATAAAAAGGCAAAAGAGCAGGAATGTCTCCAGAAAGAGTGTCGTGTGGCTGACGTGCACGTGCAACGTCGTCAACCAGGAGGGAGATTCTAATCTAAACCACAGTGAGACTCCACTTCCCACCCACGAGGATGGCTGTTCTCAAAAGATAAAACCAGCACTGAAGTCTACCTGGAGAGACCGGGACTTCCCTCAGTGCCGGTGGGAAACAAATCTAGCCGCTTTGGGAAGCAGCCTGGTGTAGGGCTGAACTTGTGCAGCGCAGGAAAGAAGGACCCAGGAAAAGCTACCCGCAGGGAGGAGTGGGAAGACAGCTAGTGCATCACGGGCATGGCAATCAATGTGCAACCAAGTGTGTACAGACTGTTGAATGGAAAACGAGTTTGCCCGTGAACTTTCCCCGAAATCACACACACACACACACACACAAGCAGAGCACACGTCCAGCCTGTCAGCCAGCAGTTCCACTCTCCGAGGAAGATGGAGGGGTATTCACAGCAGCTTGACTGGAACAGCCAGGAGGTGGGAGCAGCCAGATGTTAATCGAGAGGACGGACAAACAAGCTGGGACAGCCACAGAAACCACAGCAGGGAAGGTGGAGGCCCACTACAGGCCATGGCTTGGATGAAACTCATGCATAATTCTGAGCAACAGAGATTTGACAGTGAAGCCTGTGTGCTGTGGTTCCCTTCACACGAAGTTTAAAAACAAGCAAACTTGATCTACCTCAATGGGTCAGATTACCGCACCTGGGGACAGTCAACTGGTGAGAGGCACTGGGAGCCCTCTGGGGAGCTGCGTGGTGATCGGGGACACAGGTGTGTTCTTGTTACTGCTGTGGGCTGTGTCCCAACCCACCACCTGTGCACAGTCAGCCGTTGTGACAGCTGATTTTTGGAAGTACAGCCACCTGGGCACAGTCAGAGCCGTTGTGACGGCTGACTTTTGGAAGCAGGTCGCCAGGCCTTCCCTCCTAGCCTCTTACTGGGAAAGATCTTCTGAACCTGCTCAGCATCAGAGCAGCAGCCAAGTCTCCACCGGCTGATGGGCGGCAGCTGTGCCTGGGTACCCTGGCCAGGCCTGGAACCCGGGTCTCCCTCCTGGAAGGGGGAATTCTAGCACTGAGCCACCATTGGCCCTCACCGCAGCTGAAGACACTCAGAGGGTGCACAGTTAAGCCCTGCAGGACGGTTGACCTCCTAAGAAACAAAGCAACCCACCCTGGAACACGGACATGCTGAAACGGAGCAGGACAGGCCACGGCAGGGCTGCTGCCCCAGGGTCCAGGGATACCAGCGAGGGAACTCCCAGAGGCCCTTCTCCTGCTCACGCAGTCTCGGTAAAGGTTAGGATAAACGCGGAAACCTCATTCCACTGGATCTCTGAGCACTGGGCGCGACCCGGGCAGGCTCTCATCATGAGGAGACACTGTCCCAGCACCTTCCCCCCTCTCCAAGGGGTTCCAGACCCTTGGAGCAGCTCCCTCCCCTGTGGAGCTGCCAAAAACCAGGTGACTGGTGGGGCCGTGCTCAAGGGCTACCCACCTCTGAGAGAAGCCATTGTCTCGCCAGATCTCTAGAGCCAGGAGCAGAGCCGAGTGGGGTGAAGCCCCGCGCGCACTGACGGCCACCTGGGGACCCAGGGCTACCCGGTGCTCCTCTCTTGTCTCACCGCTCGTCCTCCTGGTGCCGAAGCGCCGCCTGTCCCCGGAGCTTTGCAGTCCCCGCTAGGGCCCCCAGCCCGGCCAACCCTGTCAGCCCCGGACGCGAGGAGGCTCGGTGCTGCGGGCCAGTCCACCCGGGCGGCTCGGGGTTGGCGAACGAGAACCCACCGCGTACCGCGCACCACGTATCCTGCACCCGGCAGGGCGCACCTCGGTCGGCACACTCATCGCCCTGCCCCGCCTTCGCGCACCCCGGGCCCCGCATCCACCAGCCGCGGGGCTCACCGCGCTCTGCACTCACCGCGATCAGTCAGGCCCCACATGGGCCCGCCAAGCCCTGGGGTTGCGCTTGGGTGGCGACCCCGCCGCCTGGCTGGCGGGCGTCCCCGGGGGTCAGTCCCCCACGCTCGGCGCGGAGCAGGACCGCGAAGCCGACAGCTGCGCGGGAACTTTCCTGAGCGCCGCGTCCTGCCCGGGACGCAGAGGGGACGTGGGAGCCGGCCGCTCTGCCCCGCGCTCGGGCGATGCCAGGCTGCCCTGCTCGCGCCCGGGTTCCTGAGCCGCCGCCGCCGCCGCCGCCGCCTGCCCGGCAGCCAGCTGGGAATGAGCCGCGGGCCCGCGCCAGCGCGCGGATGTAATCACCCCGGGCCGCGCCAGGCGCCCCAGCGGGGATGGTGGTGCTGGTGGGACGACGCTGGGCGCAGCGGGGGCGCGAGGGAGGCTCTTGGGGTGGAGGGCAGTGTCGGGGGTGCGAGTGGGCGCTTGGAGGAACCAAGGGAGGCGGCGCAGGCCAGAAAGTGCTGGACAGTCCGGGCCAAGGGATCTGACCTGTGACCTCAGCCGGTCACACTGCCGCCGCTAGGACCGGGCGGCGGCCGCATGGGTGGGGTGAAGCAGCCTCCTGCTGACCTTGCCAGCTTCTCTGGGGTTCTGGGCTTCCCGCCCGCCCTCCGGGCACACACACCCTCCCTATCACCCCACCCATCACCCCACTCCTAACTTCCTGGCTGCTGAGGCTGGGTCTCCCGGTTGTAAGTCAGGCCTGGACCAGCCCCTACATCCAGGGCTGGCCAGGTGGAGGCCGGCAGGGGGCGGGTCGCTGGTGGGCCAGACGCCTGGGTCCCTGCAAACCCCGATCAAGTTCATAGAAAGGAGGAAGGGAGTGGCTTTTATTGATAGCGGTGGAGCCCCGGGTGGGAGAAGAGCAGGAGGAGAGAGAGGCCCCCCCCCCGGGGGGCAGGGAGGTGGCCTGGGGGTGCTGAGGAAGGCCTGGAGCCCTGGGTTCGCTGGTCTCTGTGGCAGATGCCCCTGCCCCAGGTCTGGGGTGCTGGGGGTAAGGGTAGGTGTCATGGCGCTGCCGCCCCCAGCCCCTCCCTGCTTCAGAGTTCCTCGCTCTGGCCTCTCCGTGCCCGTGGCAGGGACTTGAGGTGGCCAGGCTCAGGGTGGGGGCTCTGGGTCGGGGGCAGGGCTGCAGGACTACCTCAAGGGGCGGCGTGGGAGGAGAGCCCTGCAGCCTCGCCTTGTGACAGGGGGATGCTGACTGCTGGCCCAGCCCCCGACAGCTGTGACAGCTGTCACCCTCAGCCAGCTGCAGTGCCCCACGCC